TAGTGTACAGACCATATCGTGTTCCAGGACATACCTGACAGATTTCGTCTTTTATCCAAACAGACTCTTTCCCGTGYAAAGGAGTCAAACTAACAATAGAAGGTCGTCGCTCCTGAAAAGATGCAACATTTAAAATGGCYAYTTAMCCTYGTGTKCWCAAGCTGAATATTACAGTGTAAAGCGGTTTTTAAAACGAGCGCATAACGAGCGYATCCTTTGGATAAATTYTATGACAGTTTACCTCCTATACYTTCCTWCAGMAAAAKACAYAATCTAAGGTCTTATATAAAGTTTACCAAGTTCTTGTCAGAATTTCCTCTGACRGTGTACTGGCTATGGAGATCTCTCTTGATGGTTTTCAACGACAGCCGAATCTTTTCCAAATGYTGCCCAAACACAGACAAAACTCCCGTATTCATGGAATCGATGTTCTCAAGACAAATCCAGCTTCCTGAGCGAAGCATTCCCAACAAGTAACCAACCAATGTAGAACTTTCTAAACTTGACGTGCAGTTGACCGTGACAAGATGGCGGCCAAGAATCTGTTTTGGGAAAAAAGTAGGGATTTTAAGGAATGAAAAAGCTATAGTTGGCTATAGTTTAGTTCTAGTTATAATCATATTCAATAGCAGCTTTAAACATGAGAAGTTTACCTTAGAAAGATGTTGTATTGTTTCTGTTTTTCCAGTTCCATTAGGACCATGAAGAGTTCCGCATTTAAACGACTGCAGCGCCATGTTGAGTGAYAGAAAACACCTTCTTGCTAATGGTGTTACAACTAGCCCYGTGCTTGGACCTTGGTATTCATAGCCATAAGGYACGCYGGTCMCTAACTGCTCAAGAGCACATCTACCGATCCTGTAAGTTTTTTCTACTGGTAATTCTGAAATAATGTGTAAGTTTGTCAAAATAAGAAGCAAATTTGAAGTTCTACTGTTAAACTCAACTGGAGTTATGAGAGTCTGTTAGCGTTGACGACGGTCGAGTTTAATTATGATGATGCCACATCTTTGTTTTACAATCATAGTCATTTATGAAATAAGGACACTGCCACCATGTTGGGGAAAAACCACTTCAGTAACTGGACTCTCTCATAAATGACTGCAACTGACATGACAAATTATTATAAACCTAACCTGATGTAYTGTCTTTCCCATCGTACGACGTCGATATCTCTTCAGTAATTTCCATTTTAGAYTTCAGTTGACTTTGCCATTCAAAACTGTCTATGTTGGTCACATGATCTTCAATCAAWGCTGTAAAGATATAATCTTCTTATTTTTACATGTACTACGCATTCAATTACAATGATAAACCTTTCGTACCAATGCAGAGATATTTATCGTTCAAACATATCTTACCATCAACAATATCGCGATGACTGACCGCCTGAGCCAGGAGATTAGCTGAAATAACTTCGATTCTATTTTGCTCTGGATTATCACTTGGACATTCAATCGACTTTCTGATGGCTGAAGACAAATCCTCAATCGAACACTTGATCTCAGTTCTWAGAAAAGAAAGTACCTTGTGAACATTAGAACTGATCTGATCCCCCTAAAACCTAGGGAATCTTGCTAGCTCCATAACTCTAAGACGCCCTAAACTCTAGATACCGGATTTTCGAAAGACGACGAGYATTCTCTTCCTTTGACATACATGAGTCTTACCCTCCACCCCGAATTCTAAGATCATAGATTTTACAACATACTTACCTAATGATTGATAAATTACGTTGCCTCCCGCTGACCAGGGCGTGGCTCACTTTACGAGCCCACAATACATCTTCTGCTTTTCCAACGCACTGTGCAGGAAAACCAAGTAGAGGCTGTTTATCTTCCACGGGTTCATCAACATTCTCTCCACTAACGTTATCTAAAACAATAAGAAACATTAAGACACAATGGAAACAAACAAACAATACMTGGAACAGATAGTTCCTGGCCATCATGATGACCAAACAACATTTCGTCTAACGTCCCCAAGTAGATGYGAGGATTCAAACACCATTTGTGAAGACTGAGGTGTTTTCCATCTTGGAAGCAAAATTTACTGAACGTATCAAAAAGTTAAACTTCCAAACAACGAAAAGACAACCGTTTGTGATAAACACCACTTTTTCACCACTTTTCACTTTTCTTAAGAATGCACTTTAATAGAATACCCGAGGAATAATTTTATTAACAAGTAAAAATCCSTGCTGTAATGATGGGCAACCAAGACATCACTTGATTTGTACACGTTTATGTAATGTATCGCTAACCTCTATGAATCAGCTGTTCAACAAGGCTAGTGAAATTCAAGGCTCCATCATGTAGTCTTGTTCGAACACATCGTGATAATTCGTTCATCAGGGTATCTCTCATGCTTTGYTCAAGATTTACAAACCATTTCTGAGGAACCGGGGAAGCTGGTATAGGTCGAATAAGGCTAACTTGTTCGCTATTGCTTCCTTCCATTCCAATAACTTCCAGTAAGTGAACTACAACATAAATAAATCCAAATAACTACTGATCTCATTGTTCTACCAACAAGCAACATCCATCACAACCTCTTATTGATAATACAGAAATACTAATCATAAGATCGAGATATTCCACTAGTTCAATGTACCATTTAGCGCAGCATCTAAAGCTGATGTTAGTTTGACGCCGATATCTTCTGGTAACTTAAACTCAAGGCCCTTTATACCAGGAAAGCACATCTTGACAAATGGCAKCAAATCCTTGGGGTTGCGCGACCATGCAAGAAGATCTAGTAGTGTTTTATCACCAAGAAGGTAGAGTCTTGGAAACTCAGCACGAGCTAATTCAAAGTATTCTTTAACCAWRATAATCAGCTCTTCCTGAAAAACAATCAGAACGAATWCGTTCAGGGCATCAAGGTATGGAAGTGTATAGATACCATAGAATATTTCTGCAAAATCGAGTTTTTGAAACGCAATATACATGTTTTATAGCGGCTTATAAGTTTCTGGCGARACACAGGAGTATAGGATACCTCTTTTTGAATCAGCTCCAGCAGCATAGCACGTAATGCTTCCCCTTGAAGCTCTCTCCAWCCTAATTCACCTCGCTTCTTGGTGAGAATTGATGTTACTCTACTGTTCTTAGAGATRACGTCAATAAGATCCTGTTTAAATAAACACATCAACAAAGTTCATGCCAAAACACAAGAAAGGAAAACAAGAAAAGAGAGTTTACCTGGTATTTTTTGTCTATTTCTTTGAAGGACTCCAAATGTTCTGCATACTTCCTGGCCATTTGTGGTTCAGAAAAGACATTCGTCAGGTATAACCACTGTAAAATAGATACATAAAATTCAATTTAACTAAGTTTTATAGTTGCTTATATAACAATATTCAAATTGATATTATTACCTTTATCTGACAGGTCTCCCAAACGTTTAAAATATCCTCGAGCTCCGTTAGATTATTAGTCCAYTCCTCKACTATGGGTATSACATCAGTGACATACGGCGAGGCAAGCATGGATTGCAGCGTTACAAGATTATCCTACATTTATATAATGAATGTGACATAATATTATGAGATGAATACAATCCAGCAACATTCCAAATGTCATATTATCAGTGGCCATGAATTCACTYACCTCAATCATACACTTGATTTCAGGAATACCAATAACAATGAATGAATCAGCTACTGCTGTCTTGGGCTTTGCTTTTGTCTTTGTCTTCTACAAATWAAGATATTCTATTCAGTAGTATTAAACAATTGAAGCTATTCTCTCTTCAAAGAAGCCTTCCTACAATCATCAATTGAGGTTCGAATAAATGCATTGTACAGTAAATTTGATCATGTTTACCTCGTGCAGCGTCATCTTTCGTTTCTTTTCTTTCTGTCTTTCTAATGTCTTCTTGGAGTGCTCATCATCCATTTTAGGCCTCATGGATGGTATATGCTTGGCGAGTTTGAAATCTCGCTCTAGCCATGACTTAATGAGTTGCTGCAATTCAATCTCCAGTTCATGTTCATGAGAAGCTCCATTGCACACAGTTTCAATAAGTTCTTTGTAGCGAGTAAGGTTCATTTCTAAGAGACGTGTGGTAGTGAACTTCATTGACTGGTCAAACTCTTGTCCCATACCAATAAATAATGCTCTCCAATGTCTTTGCTGTAGTCAAGCATTGTATTAGTAAAATAATGATTTAGGTACAGTACAACATAATTGTATAATGTCAAAGTAGGGAAATTCAATGCAAAAATGNGTTGATGATTTTCAGCTCATTACAGATTCGACGACCTCGATCTCGTAGCTGCAATGGGCAATAATAGCTTTTGGCCTTATAAAATCTCCTTATTTCATAAACACAATCATAGCTACTGTACCTGTCTCAAATCAGAGAGCACCTTTGATGGCATTTCATCAGGGTCAATAAACCTTCCACTCATTGCTCGATGTCCAATACCAAAWACTTGCTCTTCCATGCTCTTMAGGCATAAAAAAGAACTATTTTCAACAAAGAATTGATCTGATATGGCAAAATGGATCYGATGCACTTACAGCTATGGTTTCGTGTAATCTTTCAGTGACAACTGGCTTTTGTATTTGAATGAAATCAGAAGCTTCTTGTAAACCAAACAAAAATGATTCCCAACAGGCCCACACCTATCACGACAATACAAATATCATATATTATAAGACTGTTGAATGTTAAATTATCACCATTTTGTTCAATATCTCAGTCTACATGTATGCTATAGACTTTCACAAAGTCCGTTTTCCGCTCRTTCCGTATCTCCCATYRCCTCTCATGCTCCACRCTCRACCATCRCGCTTAATATTCACCTATTCCTGWGAGTAAAAGAGAGTCCGACTTGGGCAAGTCTAGTATGCTATTTTACCTTCACTCTCATAATAAAATTATTTGTCATCATCATCATTTCACATTATCATCATCATCATACCTTTTCTTCAGTTATTTCTTCTTCTGCAGTAAGTTGTCTAAAGCAGCCTCGAATAACCTGCACCAAACATGGTCCAATAAGTCAATAAATGTTTTTAACTATTGATGCCAAGGGGTATACAGAATGCCATGCTTACTTCAAACAGGTTCTTGATGTATTCAACTTTATCTTTCAATGCAGGAACTTTATCTTTGACACTTTTAAGTTCTTTGATGAACAATGCAAAGAATTTGATCTCAGTTCTTTGCTCTTTGATAGACTGTTGAATAAAATAACAATAATAACCACATCATGGTCAGAACTATTTGTAAGTAAGACTGCACTATATTGTCAGTAAGTACCAAGAAAATCTTGTATGACATGCAATTCTCATTTATTCTGCCAGATTTCAAGGATGATATCATTACAAAGATGTACAATCTGATTGCCATGATAAATTAATAATATATTAATAATCATCACCTCGGCAAGGTTTTCCATTTCCATTACGACTTCTCCTGACAAAATCAACACTTGAGATGCAACCATGACAACCATCTCATTGAATATGCGGGATAGYTTGGGGATGATGATATCTTGGATAGGTATACAATTGATGTACAGCAAACCATTAGCAGTAGAAAACTTCTTGATAACACCACCAACTTGTTGTGTCCATGTTTGAATTTGTCTTAGTTGTTGCTGAGAAAAGTAAAAGGTTAATAAATATATCAGAATCAATCGTTGTTTAGTTAATGGTTGTAAGATGACAATATTTTAATATATACCTAATAAATTAATAAAATCATAATAATCAATAACAATGGCAACCAACCTCTATCATAGTTGTAGGTTGTGATTTCCAGTACTCTATCTGAGTATCATCCCACCCTGTTACAAACTCATGGATYTCTGAAAGCCAATTATGATTCTCACAGAACTCAGTCACTTCCTCCACAGCCTCACTMACCAATTCTTGATGATATTTCAGAGCATCTTTGATTTTGTCACTGTGGAGCAAAAAGTATCTTCAATAATTACAGACAGATCAAACTAATCATTGGATTATAATTTAATACTATAAATAAAACAACCAATCAATGGTTTGTAGTCAATATTAATCAATGTTTGTTGTCATTGATAGGTTAATCTATCTAGTAAATGRTTAACTGTCAGAGAAATAGATTTGCTAATAAGATCAATCAAAAAATCATTCAATTCACAACTCACTTGCTATATAGAGTTTGCTGCAATTTTTCTTTGGTCAGTGGACTGTTACTAACTGAACATGGTTCTAGCTTGTGACCTTGAACAACAAGGACATTCTCTTGTGGTCGTTTAGAACACAGTTCTTSATTAGTTGGCTTWACATCCCTTGCACTTCCAATAGATGTACTGAAATCCTGAATATCATCCAATATCTCATCCTCTGATCTCATAATCTGTATTGAGATGTCATCTTGGGATTTCAGATTACTGTAGCTGTAGATATCCAGCTGKCCTGTCTCACTTACGACATCAACTCTTGATGAGAATTGCACTGTGCTTTCAGGGTGTTTATTGTTGGCTGTTCTTGGAGTTTTAGTGTCTGGAGTTGCACTGTCGCCTTTGGCTTTAGCAATGAAAGATTTGGTCACATCATCCAGTTCCATTGCATGAGACAGACTACACACTACTGATAGCACTATTTCCAGTGCAGATGATAATGAATATGCAAGCTGTTTGGTTGAAGGTGATAGCGCAAGCTTGTGATTATCATTGAACATGATACCAACCTTGAACAAACCTTCCCTTTCAGGTCTTGGACCAGGAAGAGTGACATCAACAAACTTACAGATATTAGACTGAGCCATAGTGATTAGATTTTGGATGATAATGTGGTCAACCAGGTTGACAAAGTTCCCCAGTTTTGCTACTTCTTCATGAGCAAGTTTGAGGTTCTTTTGTCTGATTGCTTTCTTCTCTTTGGCAACAGAYAGAGATTCCTTGTARTTATGYTGATGATTCTTTATTTGGGTTTCACAATACTTCAAGTATTCAAAGCAATTGGATTGAGTCTTGTCAACAATCATTTGAGAAAAAGCAAAAAACTTGTTTACATACATACGACCAGTATCACTTGTCTTGAATGTCAGCTCTTCGAATTCACGGAGGGTATAACAGCTCTTGGTRTCAAAAGGAAGGAATGTCACTTTTGATAAGTCATTCAGTAGTGACGAGATACGAAGCAAGGCAGAACCAAATGTTTGGACATTAGGTATAAGAGACTTCTCAATATCAGCTTTGGTTTTTCTGAAGTAWGTAAACTTCTTTGCATTTTTCAATTTCATGAATGCTTTTCTCAAGAAAAAGTTTTTAAACAACGAAAGGTTCATRACKGCATGAAATGTTGAWGCCTCTATGTACCAATCTGATATGAGCTGAGACTCAGATGGCTTATCTGGAAAGATATGCAGTATGCTATGAGATGARATGATGAAGTGCTCTGGATTCACTCTATCTTTAGGAACTTCAATTAGATGGTATGGATTGTATCTCTCTGATGGGGCAAARTTAACATATGCAAATTTTAATTCACCAAGAAAACTTCCTTTGATAAACTCTTCTACTATTTCCATCCCTGTTCTTGGTAYAAAGGTGGCTTCCTTTTTGACAGTTGACTTTTTGTCTTCGCTGTCAAAACAAACTTGCTTCTGTGGAGTGGCTGACATGGGCTTTGGTGTGGGGGGTGGCGAGGGGGTGTGTGTTGGTGGCAAGTTGACATCAAGTGCTAATATAGTCATTCCAAGTGGAACTCCAAGAACAGATTCTCTGGCTGATATCTCTTTTACAACCTCTGTAAGGGAAAACCTCAGGTCGTTCAAAGAAAGCTCTTTCGCTCGTTTTGGGTTGTAGGATGGTTGTTCATCRGCTGGAAGRCAYGAAGATGGCATCACCGAYTTTAATTCGGTTYTTGGAATCTTAACTCCTTTTGACACGRTTTTCCTTCTCAACGTCAGGGAGACATTTTCATCTGAGACTGASGGGAATTTTGACTTTTTCTTGTCTGCATTTTGAACATTTGCAACGACGTCAACAAACACACGTTGTATGAGACTGCAGACATCTTGAAGATCTTTATTACCTTCTATCTCAAGGTAGGCCCTCTCTGCATAATGACAGAGCTCTTTGGTGTTAAGGATGGATAAATAAGGCTCTACTAGTTGAAGAACTTCGCCCAAGTGATTCCAGCACTTGAGGTCTTTGCTTTGGTGAAGAGCAGTGATGAAGGCGCGAGAAATCAACTTTTTCAATTTTCGTTTYTGAGTGACGACTTCATCTTCAGTTTGTGATGTCTCTTCGACCTTTTCGTTCTTACYGGCATCCTTTAAACCATCAGAACTTTGAGTTATTGGTCGTGAAACTAAATTTGTGTCATCTCCAATCGCTGGAAGTCTTGGAGAGGATGAAGARGCCCGAGAAAAGACCAACTCCACTGCTGTACCCGACATTTTTCATCATGTTTTCTCAACAGCACGAATCATTTTTATCCTCAATATCCTGGAGGACCTTACAGCTGAATATACAAAATCATATTTTCATTCATAGATTGTTCCCTTGGGTGTACAAGTTTCTTGMAATGAGTTCATTTTAAAAAGCAGAAAGTCATTTGTTTTTGTGTAGCAACTGTTTGACTTTTCCCGTCGGCCATCGCGCAAGGTTACTAGGTACCACARCACAGGAAACCCAAATCAAAATTTGCCCTTTCTTCGATGATTGAAGMCCCAAMATCATTTCAGGCTTTCTTKCGRAWKRARRRKTKRAAAWYAWWWYCYYSKTTYWAMMRAAAAACGAAAGAAATTCATGAAAATCAAAATATTCATASTAGAWSWAAGTTTGACGTGATCTCAGGCGCCTTCGATYATATTGTCTGCGGTGTTACGCATGAGSTTTTTAGTGGGACTTTCAAAAGAAATCATGAGTTTCTTAGARTATAAAGATAGAATTAGCGAAGGGGATACCGTGATCCTTTATATTGTAAGTAAATAATGCAATTATACGTGTATAAACAAACGGAGTGTAAAGTTTATTCATTTTGATAGGGTGCTTCCTCGATGCATAGTATCGTAGTCAGTTCTTCTAAAGTCCACCAGACAAAATATGGCGCTTTTCCACATGCAGAAATGATAGGGCGACAGTTTGGATCAAAGGTAACTCATTTATTAAATATACATGAAAACAGAAAGCCGTATACACTAGGATATATTACATCTACACCATCCCCATCCATTTTAGCCCATTTCTCACCCTGCATCCCTTCCTCCTTCCCTCTAATTCTCCATTTATCCTTCCATTCATTCATCCATCCCACAAATTGCAGTACAGTGCATATTTGCATCTTTTTTTCTAGATGTTTTCCATAAATAAAAAAGGCTGGATTTACTTGTTACACCCTACATCAGAGCTCTGGACAATAAACCTACCACACAGAACACAAATACTGTACACYACWGATATCAGTATGGCAATAATGAAGTTAGACATTAAACCTGGCTCTGTTGTCATAGAATCTGGTGAGTTGTTTGTTTATTYRCCATCTATTGTACTTTTTTAATGGGGGAATTATCCAAGGTTTAGGACATCAGAGAAAGAGGCACTTTTTCATTTCATTATGCACAGATTTTCATATTTTATGATATCATTTCAAAGGAACTGGGAGTGCATCAATGTCTCATGCCCTCATCAGAGCAGTTGCACCAACTGGCCATCTTTATACTTTTGAGTTTCACGAAGACAGATGTAAAAAAGCAAGGTGAGAGCAATGAGCCAGAATAAGCCGCCGTTAATATATATATACTTTAAACCTTTTTAAAATAAGTTTATTATATTATTATTATTATTGTTTTTTTAGAGAAGAATTTAAACAGCACAAAGTTGATCATCTGGTGACAATACAACACAGAGATGTACTTCAAGAAGGATTTCAACTAGATCATGTTGCAGACGCAGGTAAGAAAGATTAACAGTAACTGGATAATTCAATAAGAACTCTTTATAAAAGATTAATTGTTAACTTCTATTTTATCTGTTTATAGTGTTCCTTGATCTTCCCTCACCATGGGATGCCATTGCTACATCAAAGAAAGCCTTCAAGGTATTAATTCTATGCTTGTCCTTCTATGGTACTCAAAGTCATTTGGCAATTGTCAGTAGCAACATTGGAAAAGTAGCTGTGGTGTACAGCAAGAGCAGCTCGCATTGTACTTGTTGTAATCATGGCCATAATATAAATTGTTAGAAGTAGCAGAGAATTCTAGTGGGTTGAAGCTATTTGTTTTTCAGAAAAAAGGTGGTCGCATTTGTTCATTCTCTCCGTGCATTGAACAAGTTCAAAGGACMTGTGAGACAATGACAGAGCTTGGTTTTAAAGGTACATATATCCAKAACCCAGAGATAAATGTTTTGCCACTATCATGTCTGCTGTAGAGTGCAGCCAAGCAGCAGAATGTTTTGGAATGCTTGTGCAAACTTATTGAATGTGTTTTCCTGTTTTAACACAGATATTGAAGTAATGGAGTGTTTATTAAAATCATATGATGTAAAGCCAGTAACAATGCAAGTGCCTGAATTCTCAGAAACACTCCAGCAGGTAGGTTGAACAAATGAATAAAGATTAAAAAAATGCCATTCAGATTTGGCTGTACGCTTAGCATAAATAGGGTTTTAGCACTTATTGAATGAATCAGAATGTATTCTGGCTGGGACGTCATGCAGAAGACCTAATAATCTGAACAATCATTAACAAGCTGATCTAGCAAAGACCAGTTATGGATACTGCTCTAAAAATTACTAAAAATAACTCACTATTGAAGACAGTGATTACAGTAMTGGGGTTGTTCATATGTAAGGTGAATAAATTTGTCCACCTCATAGATTTTGTATGAAGTTTACTAATTTGGTAAGGATTTATCCATTCGACATTGCCAATCACCCTTTATAAGTCCTGGAAAGTATCCTTTATAAAGGGAGTCTAGACTTGCAGTTAAAATTTTGTGTTAGCCAGTTTAGCTCATATTGAGAAAATTAGTGTCTTTTCAATAAAACACGTAATGGTTTTAGTGGGAAACAGCAGGTATAATATTTTAAACCATCTGTAATAGATATTTAATGTTGTTTGATTGTGGCAAATCTTTGTGTCAACACAAATGAATAATTAAACCTGGCAATTTAGTTAATGGTCGTGATATGAAATCTTTTTTATTTTGTTTTAAATCCATTTTATGTAATAACCACTCTCTAAAAGTAATTTTGATTTTCCATAGACTCATGACGATGACAGCCAAAAAGAAGTCAATGAAACAACTACAGTCAACACAGATGAACTTTATTCTAGAAAAGATAAAAAGACTGATGACACCAAGCCTTCACATATCCTTAAAATGAACAAAACAACAGTTATGACTGCAAAACCAATTAAAGAAATGCCTGGACATACAGGATTTCTAACTTTTGCTTCTTTATATCCAAACCGAATATCCTGAGAWTCATATTAATTCTATTAGTGATTAATGATAATACTTAATTATAATCAATATTGATGTTTTTGTGTACATTAGTTAACAGACATTATCAAAATTGTTAGGAAATCTAACCACTGCATTCTGCCTCATTAAATGTGAATAATATCGTTTTATTTCTATGTAATTTGTCTGCTTAAACCCTGCTTAAACGTGTCCATAATGTTATGTCACCTGTCTTGATTTTTTTCAATATTAAAAATACGACGGTAGAARTCGTTTCAGACTGTCTTAACGTTTTTCGTTGTCTCGTTGAATGCAGAGCGGTTTRATTTTTAAGGAGAAACGTTGAATAGTATAAATTGTAGCAAAGAAAAAGCGAAGTTCAAGGGTAAACTGGCGGCAGCCGTTGTTTGTTTTTTGTTGCTATTTTTTTGACCAAACAGACCACATCATTAGAACGTTGGTAAAACGGAAAGATAGCGCCAATTTATACTGATAACATCTTGTCTGCTTTGAAAGTGAGCATTTTCTTTCTGCACGAAAAATAGCCGGAAAAAAGAAAAAAAAGTCGAACGAACTTTTGTCTGTGACTTTGATAAACAAAGGAAGAGTACAATTATTACAATTTATCAAACAATTCCATAGTTTTGGCCGCGGAACGATGTTACTAGACCACTAAAACCTCGAAGAAAATATTATGAAAGTAATTATTAGAATCTTGCCGCGGTATATATGACATAGTTKCAGATAAAACTATTTTGCCGTAGTTAATTGCTATCCTTATCAAAGAGAGACGTGCAGGAAATTGGATTTGCTGTCTTCTGCTACTTGAGAAAGGTAGTCGTTTAGCTTCTCTTTTTGTCTGTTCACTGTCTAYTCTTCGAAATTAAGCGAATCTAACACTGAAATTTTCAAGTGATTCCATAATGGAATTATTCGAGTGTTCTTTTAAAATGCTTTTTTTTATAAATGTTGCTGGGTAATCGGTTAGCAGACTGTTGATATGTCTTTGTGGTGGGCTAATGGTTTCATTTGTAGAGTGAGCATCAATCTATTATAAATCGTTAGCAAAGCCGCCGTGCAGGTCGGCAGACGATGTGATAGCTAAAAGGATTGATCTTTTAAGAAGTGTATGTTGAACGGTTTTGGTACATTCTATCAAGAACCGGCTTTCGTCGCGGGTGCGGCAACGAGAAAAAGTGTAAGTTGCAAAAAGGCATGTTCGTTATTGCTAAATGAAAACTTAGTGTTCTTTTTATTCGTGGCAAGTAGAATATTTTCGAATTCAAAACAAAAAGGGACTATAACCTCATTTTTGAATTTTGGACAAATTTGTACTGCACTTGTACGTATATCGAACTGAATGCGAAAACACAGCGTGCCAACTAGAATGTTTTGACCGTCCGTGAAAGATTAGTGATTAATAGCTGGTATCACAATTTTCTTTTTTTGAAAACAAATACTTTATAAATACTTATTTTCACTGTACGATTGTGTGGACGGAGAACTACACCAAAACGTATACAAAATGATATTACAGTAATGTAACCATTGGCATTAGTAGTGTAGTTAGGAACTTCCAAAAAACATTTTGGCCGCGCTGGCATCCTCGGGAATCCAGGCGTAATCTTCCGTCGCTCATAAGAAACAAACGAAGATTACGACTGGGTTCTCGAGGATGCGCTAATGTTAGACTGTAATTCAAAATTGTCAAACCTCATGATTTTTTTGCGGTCGAATGGTCAAGTCTAGACACAGAATTCGTGTAGTAATTCAATTTTCGGTAATAATCGGAATAACCAAGCAATGATTTTTTGAATCTGAAAATGTTAGAAATATATAGATTGTCCAAAAAAGTTGTGATAGAGATTACTATTAATTAAAAAAATTGTAAAAACTTTCAATTAAAAAAAAATTGTAAAAGATATTCAATGTAGAATTCCTTAAATAACAGCATTTTTAAAAGAAAAGCATTTTAGGGTAAACATTTCTTGTACAGTAGGTCTGGTCTCGTATCCGTTCTATACGACTATACGGGATTTATTAAGAATTGGATTAACACTTATACGGGATTTGTTGTTTTCTTTCCCACCTGTAACCACCGGAATATTTCCACTTACAAAATTATCTCTCTTTATCTCGGGTTTCTAGTGTTAAAGTTGTTGCTAGATTGTTGATAATTCAGATAATATCCCATCAACAGATACTATCTAGGCTAGATAGAGTTTGTAGGACACGTAGGAACTGCTATAATGAATATTCGTAGTAGCAATCTCTTATGTTATTCGCATCTTTTTTACAACCAGGTAGAGCTAAAATTTCTTTTAAAGCCATGTTTTAACAYWTAAATGCGCTAGAAAGCGAATAATAAAAAAAATAGTTTAGYTTTTGTGTTTTTTAACGATGTCAGTTGTCGTTAATGAATCCAAATTTTTACAATTGTACAAGAATCAATATGAAAACATTTATTGTTAAGCGCTGCTGCTTTCTCGCACCTCAAGTGGCTAATGTTCGTTCCCAAGTATAATTAACAACAGATTAATATTTAACGTTTTTTGTCAGTCTACAACTTTGAGTAATCACAACTGGAGGTCTTGYGCTTTCATTGGAGATAAACTACAATGTGATTTCCTCATAGTTTTGCTGGTGCATGATCCCATTCGTCGYCGGACAAACTTGTCACAATAATTTGTGTTTTGCGGTTATCGGATGGGCTTGAAGATTGAATAGATTTAGATCCCATCAAAGAACGTAGCAGAGGTTTTGGTTTTCAAGGATTTGCCGCTTCTATGCACGAAAGTACTTCTTATCACGCAGTACTAAGGTTAGAAGAACACATCCTTCATGTTTTGAAATACAATATCTGAATTTGGCATCTTATGCTCATTTTTCACCTAAAGTTTTGAAGCATGTRCATTACACTTGTATTGTACAGCGTTCCTTTTTACCCAAACATGCATAACCCTGAACTTTTGCTGTTTTTGAACAACTTCCCAGCGTTTTTTTTTTAACTCATTAACGATGATATAAATAATTTAGGAAATACTTCATAATAATATTGAATCATACAATTTGTACATGTTCGGGGATAACTTCAAAATAATACAGTCAAAAGAAGAATCAAAGGATACTTTTTTATCCCTAATCGAGGTTTGAGAGTYTTTGGTGCTTTTTTTGTTGTCAGTGACGTATCACTAAGTTGTTATAGAGTGCATGACACACAAACCATGGGACATAAATCCGGACAAAGAGAGCARTTGCAAATMTGAATTAACACATTYAGCTTTGTCGAAAATTCACGTTTTTATTAGACTGAAAATCACATAGGAATATATACAACGCGCTTCTCATTTACAAGTTGAATTAACGAAATGCAAAACATAAATGTGAAACTGATATAGAAATGCCTCTATCGTTGAGTTATTATCTTAAAACTAATATCCGCAATACTCTTAGCTTATAGAATTAAGTAGACGTTGTTAGGCAATCTGACATGCCATTGTAACATTTCGTTTTGATGTCAATCTGTAACTTTCAATAAAAGTTGGCATTGGTTAGGTTTCGCGGTTTTGTTGGTTTCACTTGGCTCGAAATCTTTTTGAATKTCATGGCCATTTTACAACCTTAATCTATTGTTTTTTTCTGTTGTTTTCGGTCAGCTTGTTCTTTTTCTTTGTTTTCTTATTCTTCGTTTTTAAAGACAATGACGTGAGACGGTAGTGTTGTCGTGKTGCAAATTTGGTTCASTCCGTGGCAACCGCCATGATGAATCATCCCGTGCTGGGATTACAAGTGTATTTATTGTTGTGAACCCGCAGTTGTATATTCAAGCAATCCSTATGTCTTCAATCGTTTAGAATAAGACAAATTGTGATTAGAGSTTTATTGCTAAACAGTTTCCATCCATCCTGTCCAGTTGTTTTGTAGCTTGTTTCTAAACTCAAAAATGGCGCTCTAAAATGTACACTAGCAAAAAAGTTGTCAGTTCTCCCTGTATGCAGTCAATAACTTCTACACTGATGACGACAGTCGCATTATTGAAATGAAAAATCGTTTGAACATCGATGAAATGCACGGTTTCTTAATGACATGATTGGATTTTGTGGTGACTTTTGTATCAAAACCTACGAATAAAAAGTCATTAATATTTCAGATGTCGTCCTGTTTGCTCGTTCTGAATTTTGGATGGATGTAACTTGAAAACGACTTGATGAATAGCTCTTCAGACAAGAAGGTATTTAAGCTCTACTTTCCAACAATCAATGTTAATTCGATTGAGTCGAGAAAAGAGGTTGAAAAAGTCCATCCAAACGCGTCTCAGTTCGTTTTACAAATACGAGGTGTACAACGATCTTGCATCGTAAAATTAATAGAAAAAGCGACAAATTCCACGGAATATTATGAAAATAGAAAGCACTTAATCACAGGGTTCACTCGAATTGATTTTAAGAGCTCTTAATTTTAATAGAATTAAAGTTGTAAGGAGATTTTTTCTGTGAATTACTGTTAAGTTCAACGCGATTGTATCGTTGAATTCGAGCCATTTCTTGACTAAATAATTATATTTACAGGACAAGTCAATTAGTTTCAATGGAAGTCATGCCGAGATTTACCATCGTATTATCGTCAGGAGCTCCACCTTTGATTTCTTTTACCTTTTTAAAAACGCTCACGGTGGATGGGCTAGGTACTTACTCGGCATTATAATAATTTCGTTCTTGTTGGATCGTTCCACCAAAATCACTGTTTGCTTTTATTACTTTGTTTTTGCTTTTCAAGTTCAAGCGTTCTCTAGTGCAACTTGTTTTCTTTTTTTACGTGGTAAACTCTCAACTACACAACATTCATGATAAGAATACTATACACAAGTACTTTGTAGTCGATTTGATTCTTTTGAGTTGCCGATTTTGACGACATGAACATTACAGTTTCAAATACAGCAATTTGAATAAATGATGTCGGAGAATAATTTAAATATTTGAATATCGATAGACTATCACTACTTTACCACACTGATACATGAAATGATACAATCTTCGCAAGGAAAACAAAAAACTTTTAGCGCTTCTGGACGCATTGTCCTTCATCAGAACGTCAGTGCTATCTTAAGGTATAGGGTAATACGAGCAACAAAAACGTCCAACTTGTCTCGCAACATTGATGCAAAACGAGTTGGAAAGCGATGTTGCTCGTTTTTCTACGCGCGCACCAACTTGTCTCGCGTCAAAATGGCTTGTTGCAAGTTGAAAAAGTTTGTTGCAGAAAGTAGAAGATGGTTCTACTTTTTGCAACAAAACTTGTAGATGTTGCTCGTATTACCACAGCAACCCAACTTGTCTCGCAGCAAAATGATGTTTAGCGCGCGCAAGCCAACATCAGGTGATGTTTTTAGCCAATAAGAAATCTAAACTAATTCAACTTGCAACAAATTGTTTTGCTGCGAGACAAGTTGGTTCGCTGGTAGTAAAACGCGCAGCATCGCTTTTAAACTTGTTTTTCAGCAATGTTGCGAGACAAGTTGGACGTTTTTGTTGCTCGTATTACCGTACCTTTAATTGCGCCGATATATTATTTATTTATCATAACGTTTCATTAGMAGATAGTTAATGATATGATTATAATACCACGAAGCTCACAGTACTTTAGTTTTCTAATTAAAGGCAGTAGTAGTTATTTGGGTCTATTTGCAACGTACGAATCAATGATAATAGTGAACCTGCTTAAGTATCAATTAGTTTGACCAGTTCAATAACTTTTAGTCGTTCATCCTCCACTATGAACCATTCTCTTCGACGACCTGTTTTTTTAATTGTGTTTATAAACAGATTATTAATTCAGATTATTAATTTGGCCTTGTGGCATAAAGACGCACTAACTGCAATTAGAACCGCTCACTGACAATCAGCTGGGGAATGGTTGAAAAAAGTGCACTATCAAAAGTGATGAAGTCTTGCRTACAATTAGACTAAGCAAAACAACTGAATATAGATATGTTATTATTAAACCTATATCATAAAAAAACATAAAGATGTTTTCAAAGTAAATAATTTCTTGTTTATGTGYAATTTTRGCAGSCCAATAATTTCTCGTGACTKAGTCAGCCTTGTTTATAAATAATGAATCAAGGTGGCGCCCATCAAACCGCTCCAACAGAAACTCGGATATTACGTGTATTTGATTCTATACATCGTGAGTCATTGAGTGCATTTTCGACATGTATGTGTTAGTGTTTGCAAGTTGTTTTTTCAATGCTCTCTTCAGTGCGTAGGTAAGTGACTGACTACAGCCCTATACCACCGTCTATGTGTCTAACGGCGTTTTCACTGTYTTCAACGGAATTTTCCATACTTGTTGATAGTCCACAACCAGTACACTGAGGTGGTTTTTACGACAGACACCATTTACGTAAGGAAAACGTTAACATCTTTTAAAATTTCTCTATGTCAGTGGGAGAGCACGCCTTTCATTGTAATGGCTTTCCAGGAAAAAAAAAAAAAACAGAAAAAAAAACAGACCTGGAGAAAAAAACATAAGCGGATTTTGTTCAGTACTGATAGCGAGAGCATCATCACCTCATTACCYTCTTGGTGGTTCTTAACCAATTTTTGAGGTTTTCCTAAAGTCACGAGAATGTGGCTTAAATTTCATCGTATAGCCACTTTTTAAGGTCCACTAATGCAATTTGTGGTTCTTCGTTACATATYATTGATTTCAATTCCATTAAAAACTATCTTCAGAAGTGTGATGTTACSGATTTGTTTTTAAAAAAACATTTTTACGCACCGGATGCCATGTAGAAAGCAGCTTGATACCAAAAAAACAACAACAACACATTATTTTTGCACGGACTAAATTTGGGAACTCTTCTAAACTTAATGCTATTTCCAGTAATTGGATGTGTTTTAATTAGAAGAGAGGGAAGCAGGGGGCCAAATAATACGTGCACTATGCTATATACAGACGTCAAAGCTTGTTCCTCATTGTTCCATTACTCTTCTTAGAAAGAGATGGATAAAGAGAGCACGATTTTTAAAATGGCGTAAGAATTTGTTTTATGCGYATTGCTATGAAATCTGACAAACACTGACGATTCTGGTCTTTTTTTTTCTCTTTGTAGTTTTGTCGACATGAACAAGTGAAATGTCATCAGTGAGGACTCACGCAGAAAACATAAATAAATTGCAAGGTATGTGGGATTCAACTTAACCGATCGAAAGCAACAACAATTTTCTCCGAGATACTATTGTTTGATTTTTGGATAAAGTTTCCTTGCAACTACAAATTCATAATATTATTTGACGGTCTCTAACGAGTCATATCGATGTATTATAACTGTGTTGATAACGATTTTAATTTACACATGCCGWTAAAAGTATTACTCCTTTTTGTGGTTGAAACTCAAAGCAGCGATGAAATTATAATATTCCAAACTCATTGCCACTTTTCACATGATTGAAGTTTTCTTTTACCAATTGTTTCAATTGTATTGTTTTAATTTATTGAATTTCGCAATGTTTACATTTTAATCTAAAGTGAAAAATGTCGGCTAAATGTAATTTGCTTTCTCAATATTCTTTTATCGTTCTTTCCGTGGATTGGTGGTTTCAATTTTGTGTCTCAAAATATCTTCTCTCTTTTTTAATCTTAAAACTAATTGAATCCGAACAAAAATATTATTATTTTAACCGAACAGGATTATTATAAACTCTTCAAAGCTTCTGTATATCAAAAGCCGAAACCCCCTTTCAATTTACATGTAATGTTTTGATCTAAGTAGTTTTTCATTGAAAAAAAGTTGAAGTTCATGAATAAAGATTCGAAATTCAGGAAAAGGTTGGAAAGCGTTCTGAAATGTCGTCTGGACTCCCAGCTGGTACATGTAGTTTTCTAAAAAGCTGTCTGTTTTTTTAAAAGAAGATGGTATTTTCATTTATGATTGCTTTATTGACCATGCAGAGCACTTAAGAACTGATCCCTTTTGAAGTCAGTCAGTTTCAACACAGTAGGCACCTTACGTTTTCGATTTGATTTTAACTTCTTATAAAGATAACATAGATCTATGTCAGGCAATTTTGAAAACACATTTGGAGTAAAAGACATTTGCATAAATTATCTTTTGATTCTCGAAAAACAATTTTGAATTATAATTGCGATAAAGATTTCATTTGATATAGTACTGTTGAATTTTAAGTTCAATTTTCTTGCGAGAATTATAAGACTCAGGTTCTTAATTAAGGGATAAATTCATCGATTGCCGCGCCCATATCGATAAGAATCGTGTACCACTGSYATATCACTGATTTGCGGTGAGAAGTGTCTTGTCTTATTTTCATCCAAWCCTCCCAGCARAGTWTTTGAACAATTTCTTTAAATTTMACGCTTTTATTTTAGAAGATTTTACATMTAAATTGTTKTAGCCGACAGCTGTTACAATTGCCGCAGATCCCAGATAGACCTACGTTCGGTTCGGGGYCCTATGTTTTGTTTTAAATAGTTCCAAATAGTCATAACATAGCTACTGAAAATTAAAGCAGAAAGGAAATGGAAACATAACATAACAACAACAACATTACAAATGAATACGAGTTTATTACCAATTACTATTGCTGCTATTCAGATTTTGTAACTTTTTTCCTTTTCTTTTTTCCTTTTCTTTTTTGTTCTTATTTGCAATAACTATTGAAAAATAACTAAATATTGAAATGTAAGACACGAATGCTGCTGTATATTGCCGTCATTTTGAATTTTAATAGTCACTGGAAAAAATTGCGCACTTTAAAAGGTTAGAAATGTGATATAAATATAATGTAAGTGTCCAAAATGATGTAAATTTGATGCAAATGATTTTCCAGAAGTACGTTTGGGTCAATGTTGCGGTAGTTTGAGTTTAAGGCCAAGGTAAACTTGCGTTTCAGAGACGTTGTTTTCAATCTAGCCACGCCCCATGAGGGGAGCCGCAGTCCAACACTCTTTTGTGAGAGGTGGCCACAAATGTAACAGTACCCGTCCAGATAACAATTGGTAACAAATGCTATAACTAACCCACACAAATATAAAAAGTTTAAACTTCATAAATGGAGTATATCATATCTTTTACATGTAAAAATATCATTGTTGGCATAGCAACGTACTTCATCAAGCATTCAACAAAAGTATTCTTAGTGATTTTTTAAGGTTTAAACTTTTATATCGTGTTGATATTTTACAGCATTTAGCTTTCACTGATGTGAATTTAAAAGAACATKTTTTTGTGGAAAGCTRTCGAACTCTCGGATTCYTTTTTGATAAATAGYTTTTCAGAATTTTTGACTTTTTAAAGAATTTTGTCGATATCCATCTGATAGATTGAACATGGTWTCGTGTTCAGTCAATAATTAAGATATGTGACTCGTTCGCTGCGCCCACCCGTGAGATATGATAAAAAATATGATAATAGTTAACAAACTATGATATTATAAATAACGATAATACCTTACTCAGTGTCTCGAAAATTATCAAATAAGTGAGATTTTGGTCTGAAAAGATCTTTTATCTTTTTTATGTAAATTGAATTAAAAAAAAAGTTCCTTATTACTGACAAATACCCTGTTTTGCCATAGCTTGACCATTGATTTAGATTTCAACTAGKTTATTGATTTAGTAAATGAAGGTTTTTATGTTTTAAAATAGCCTGTTCTACTTCTAGACATAATGAAGACAGATTGACCCCATAGAATGATTGGCAGTTTCTTTGTTTTCATTTATGTGGGGTCGCAAAACTAAAGAGATATCTCTGCATCTCAAGCAGGGACACTCTCGTCTCACTCACTCTCTAGTGTATACTGCTAGACGACATTTTCACGACAGTCTTAATTTTTAAATCATAATGACAAAATATTATTAACTACATAAAGTTAGCACTTAAACATCGACAACGCTTTATGCACTTCCTCTTTCGTTGCCTTAAAAATTTATTTACATTGCTTTAAAAATAGTATATGACTCCAAAATCGCCGAAAAGAATAATAAAAAAAAACTTTCTCTGTGGGAAGTTAGTAGACAAAAATGCATTTATTTTTATTATTTGGTTTCTTGGATTTCTTATGCTTGGTTTTATGCTCGCGCTTTATGCCTCTATTGCCTTCTTATGTATTCAACTTCATTCCTTTTTCTTTTGTGATTATTCTTATGCTTGCGTTGAAAACCGCCATAGCTTTTAAAGAGTTAACCCAGGATTAGCACTAATCGAGCTTTGAAAAACCCGACCCTTGCTTAAACGATCAAAACAAAATTAAACTGCAAAATCCTGGAAAATTTTTGTTTTATTTTTAAGGTCATGCCCAGCCAGCGGTCTTTATCGTTCGGTTTTAAGATGAAATCTCACAATCTCACGATTCATATCGCGTAAAGGGATAATAAAGAGTTTTTGAATACTTTTTTGCTTATATCACAATGCATTTTTATTTTCGATTATAAATTTAAGCTCGCAAGGGATGCTGGTCGACCATGGCCCTTTAATACGATGAATATTTTACGATTATATTGAAATGTCAGCTGCCATCTATACGCGAAACTTCCTATATTAACTCTTTGTTAAATTCTTTTGATTTCTCTGTCCTTTTGCCGCTAAGTTTACTATTTACTTGTACCTAATCTCATGTTGGCATTAAAATATTGTCGGTATTTTTGTAAAGCACTTCATATTTTTGGCAAATATCATTGAACGGGGCACTAATAAAAGAATAAGAACCGCAAAGGTCTTCGCAACTATCGTTAGAGCTTATCGCTTTATTTGAACTGGTCCGGGTTTGATTCGAGCAAATTACTTATTAATCTATTTTGGTTACTTTCGAATGACTGCTATTCAAGTTTAAGGGTATTATAAATATATTCATTAGACCACTTGCGGTGCTCATTGAAATATGCGAAACTGTAGTGTTAAAATGTGTTTAAATAATCTTGATAATTCTAAAAAGTTATTGTTACTTGGCTAAAATCACAGACTCGATGCAAACGCAATTGACGCTTTTTTTAAATGAAGAAGTTTTCTTTTGAATTTTACAATTTTTCTCGATGTGATATTTATCGAAGGGTTGTAACGTTTTTTTATAATGTTTTTTTTTTTCTTGGGAATGTCATGCCTACAGTCTAAACACTTGAGGTATTACCCCGAAGGCTCCTATTGGCTCTTTTCTTCATAAATTGTTAATTTAGTTAATCTTACAAGGCTTCTAAGCGAACTACTATACTGTCTCCTCAACAGATTCCTGAAGTTTGGAAGATCGTAGGACTAYACCAAGCTGAACATGAATACTCTGTTTTTGCTGTTGGCCATAGCTGTKTCAGGTGTTAGTTCACTAACGTAAGTCTAATGTCACTTATTTGATCATTGTAATTTTAATATCATTCTAGTTTCAATAGCATTCTCATTTTCACGTTTTGAAATTGTTGTTGATTACACTTACAATGATTAAGTCCTTGAAATGCTGRTAATTTGATTGCCTCGTGTTTTTAACCTAAACTAAATGAGAACCCTGTTTTTAGAYAATTCATTCGGCGTGTAACTTTTTTTCTGTTTAGTTCAGGTAGCTWATTGCTACGATGATTCCTTGGATAACATCTGACTGTAATTTATGTACGAATGAATTTGTTAGTTGTAAACATTGAGTACACCACACAAATTCTGATTAAAAGAACCAGATGTCCAGAATACTTTTTGAAAMGTACCCAATCACAAAATATCAAATAATTGCCATGCTAAAAATATMTCTCGATACGCATCAAATACAATTTATTAAAGTCGATGGARGAGTTCCCGCCCTATAGTGTTAATCAAACCAATTTACCAATAAACAAGTTGAAAAGGAKACTGAATGTGTAGAATAAAATGTTATTGCATGTCCCTTAAGCTGCCCATTATTATGGTTCGTTAAGGCTGATTTACACGATACGATTTGTCGCGCGCGACTTGTAGTATACGATTTTCCTACTACAAGTCGTAGGATTTTAAGCAGTGGTTCAAAATCCTACTACAAGTCGTAGGTTGCGTACGACTGTTGYAGACAAGTCGTAGGGGAATTTACACTGCGCGATTCAAGTCGTATACYACAAATCGCACGAGACAACCGTGCCGTGTAAATCAGCCTTTAGGTTCTCGGTCTGTGTGTGTTATGTGCCATTTTCCATTGTGGTGAGATAAAAGAAGGCGTGAAATTCGTTTGCTATATTTTTCATCAATTATCATTAATCGGAGCCGCTAAAAATAGCCCACAGTAACACTCGAAGCCCTATTTTACTCGAAGTTTATTTTGACAGAAAGTTTAAACCAAAAAAATGAGGCATCCTGTTGAAAAACTCTTTTCAAGAAATGATATGACTACAAACAAACAAATTGAAGTTCTCATAAAATCTTATCGAATTATAGCACCACTGTTTGAATAGAAATAGCCATTCCTTCGTCATTCCCTTTTCAGCTATTCCTTGTCCAACAATTTCGCATTCGGAGTCTTTTGCTGTAATCCCCTAAATCTTGTTTTATATTAATTCAGACAAATGGCGCTTATTACTATATGCACGCCGGTGTCTAATACAAATATAGTACTAATTTATCGAGTCGTGGTTAACCAAATGTGTTTTTCCTGAGAAATAACGAATAGCTTTAGCTCCTTGCTGAGAGTATGTCAAATAGGAGTGACAAGTAAACACAGTTTTTTAAAGAATTTGTGGTTTTTCGTTGTTTTTATTTTGGCGGGAAACACCATGAAGGGCGTGTTTTGCGTGTTTTTATGGTTTATACGAGGTTCGGCTGTCGTACACTGCTATTGTAGTCTAACAGGTGTTTTTTCTTCCTTTGTCAGAGGCAATGGTAATTCCAGTGTGTCTTCGATCCTTGACCGAATACTAAAGCATGAAAAGTACGACAAGAGGCTAAGACCGAGTTATGGAGGTGAGGCTTGTCAGACGGACGTMGTCTCCTCTGCAGCAGTTTCTTATCCCGTGCTGCGGGGAAGACTAGACGAATAATTGATCATACACTATATCTACACTAAGTAGACATTTTGATTTTGATCCAAATAGGCACACAGACAGTTAGACATATAGATAGACARCTTTAGTTTTGAAGACTCACTCTTGGTGACTGTAGGCAGAAAGATAGACAGCTAGACTAAGACACACACACAAAAAAAAAAACGGATCAACTAGCAATCAACTCGAAACTCGCAATCAACTCGATCAATTCGCAATCAACTCGACTTGGGGCTAGAGGGGGAGTGGAATTGTTTTCTGGTGTAACTTAAAATAAAGGAAATTCACTTGAATGGCTCAAGCATTTTGGCAACGATTGTAGACAGATGACACAGACAAACGCAGACTGAGGAAGACGCAATCATTTCGACAGGCAATTGAAGCAAAGAGTTGATATGACCGTTCATTATCAAAGAGAACAAAACTACTGAATTTATGAAAGATTGTCAACATTATTAAACAGTTCGTCACGGTTTTCTTGCAGATGGACCTGTCGTTGTCACTGTTGGATTCTGGGTACTTTCCATCGACTCTATTAATGTTGTCGATATGGTAAGTTTACATTTTACACAATGTTTTGAGGAAAGCGTTTCATTCATTTATTTTTTATTCATTTTATAGGATTACACATTAGATATTTTTCTTAGACAATCATGGCGTGATGAGCGAATGGCGCACGAGCTCAACACAACAATGTTTCTCAGCAACACAGTCATGGATAAAATATGGATGCCAGATTCTTACTTTGTCAATGCGAAGTCAGGAAGCTTTCACAAAGTTACCAAAGATAATATGATGATCATGATCAAACCAGGAGGAATAGTACAATACAATGCAAGGTACGTCATGACAACCTCGTTCCTAGTCCCTTATCCCTTCTTTTAGCCGGAGCAGGGCCTGGGAATGCTTCCTTTCTGTATTTGAAACGATAAAAATGAGTTCCTTCTACTTTGGTTTACTTATTTGTTGTTGTTGTTGTTGTTGCTGATGTTAAATAATCTGAGTTATCTCTTTAGGGTTACTATACGTTTGTCTTGCCCAATGGACTTAAGAGCGTTTCCCATGGACACACAGCATTGTCCGCTTACCATAGAGAGCTGTAAGTTTAGTTGCTTTTAATGAGTGATTTATTGATTATTAATCGATTGATTAGTGGGCCTTCGTCTTTCAGATGGCTACAGTACCAAGCACATTGTATTCAAATGGGAAATTCCTGGCAATGATGGCTTAGGGTTTGTGCCACAAACCTTAAAAATGCTGCCTCAATACAAACTTGCTAAAGTTGAATTAGCAACGTTAAATAACGTTTATGTTGTAGGTAAGTAGCTGCAACACCACGTGACTACATCACATGACAAATATTGGATGGAAATTGAACTCTTCCATTTGTTGCTCGCGATGATGCAAAAGCACGATAGAATGAAAATACTAATGTCAATATCTATTCCTGTATAAACTCAATGTTTTGAGAAATAAAAGAGTAAAAGTGTAAAATTCTTAATTTCTACAGGAAATTGGTCAGGTCTCAAAGCGACATTCACGTTTGAAAGACTGTACAGCTATTTTGTAATTCATGTGTACGGGCCGTGCTCGTTAATCGTCTCCATTTCGTGGGTTGCATTTCTTCTTCCTCGTGAACAAGCGCCAGCTCGTATTACTTTAGGAGTTACGTCTGTATTGACCGTTGTCACCGTTCTCAATATGCTGAACAACTCCATGCCGAAGGTAATAGAAAATCACTCCTGCATTGTCTCATGTATTGGCCTCCTTGTTCTACAATGAAACTGAAATTTTGTAGGTAAATATTCGTAGGCGCAATTTATGTATGTTTTAATAATCGTTTTTGTTTTCGTTGCAGGTCAATTATGTGAAAACTATTGACAAATATCTTATAGGATGCTTTTTATTTGTATTTGCAACTCTTGTCGAGTATTCTCTCGTTCTCTGGTTTTCCAAAGCTATGAAGAAGTACAGACTATGCCGTGAAGAATGGCGGAAACAGCACGATGCTGAAGAAGGAATAGATTCTCAAGTGACTTTCAGACAAAAGGTAGTAGCTTTATCTACTATTTATCAACAAATAGAATGAGTGAATGAAAACTCTTTCCAATTAAATAGCGTGTGTTTATGACAAAAAATATAAAGCAAGACAACAAACGATATTTTTAGTGGTTTCAGCGGGGTTCT